CTTGTAATTAAATAAATCAACAACGAACGTTAAATATATTTGTATGTTATAATAACCAATTTTAATAAGAGTTATTTGAGGCATTTATTGTAAAAATGTATTGTAAATTTGGTACCGATTTGTCTGGTTTTAATTAATAGTTCAGTTTTTTTTGTTTTCCCATAATTAATTATTGTAGACAATAATTAATATTTTTTGAAATGGAGAACTTAAGATAAATATTTTTGTAGTTGAAAGGTTTTGTTTTCGGGCTTAATTCGTATGTTTATTTTCGCCTTAAGCTAATCTGTTTAAGCTAACTACTTGGGTTGCTAAGTCCTTCTTCGAAATAATCCAAATCGCCTTGGGTTAAGGACTTTGGAGACACTGTTTCAGTTACTTCCTTGAGAGCTAAGCAGTTAAGAGCAGAGGCAGTTCGCTTTTTGTTGCACTTGGTGGCAGGCAAACATCACGTGTGCCCCTCAAAATCCTTGTGGGTTGTGTGCAATACTTGTATTCGGTTGTGTGTGCAGGTGAAATTTTACTCGTGTGTGAGTGTGTGTATGTGACTTTCTGTTGTCACTGCAAAAACAATGTACTCGACTGCGACGACGACGACAGCATCAACATGCATAAAATACAATTTCATTCGCATTTTATTTGTTTTAAGCTGCATCTTTACACAAAGCCAACAAAAGTGGCAGCCGCTCGCCGTCTGTGTTTGTCGGCGCGAGTTTTCCAGAGTATAGGGGACCGGATATAGCCACGGATATCGAAAAGTTGTTCCTGGCACTCTCGACCAACGAAGAAGTCATAAAACCGAATATTGTTTTTTAAAATGACAGCAGCTGGAAATTAAGTTCTTGACTTTTATGTTCGCCGCAAGTTCAGAATTATTGATATGGACTCTGCTAACTGAGTTTGCCTCAAGGTAAAAGCGTAAAGGTGGTGTTTGGATGGACTTTACGATGTGAGAACTTTAAGTGGCTGGCGTTTATGGGATTACATTGGGAAAAGGAAATGAGAGCGACACTTTTTGATTGTTTCTCTTCTCAAACGCATTGTAATCCCATCATCGATGGGTTGAAAATGTGAGGAAAACTAATTGGCTTTTGGTGGCGCTGGCACATTATTTCGCTTTGTAATCTCATCAGCATTCGACGGGGGTTTTGACTTGTAATCACATTAAAAGTATGTCACACTTCACTTAATGTCAGCGACTGTATTTTCTTATTAATTTAAAACCATTTGTTGCGGGCTGGATGATATGAGATGAGTTTTCTGGGGTCTGTAACAAAGACAGACAGCTGACAAACACATGCGAACGTGGGCAAGTGTCGCCGCCACACGTTTTGCATTAGGAATGCCTTCGCTCGGTCTCAGTTCTCTTCGGTACGGTTTTCTTTTTAATGGGGTTGGGGCAGCCGAGGAAAATTGGAAAAAGTCAGCATGTGGTTTGCGTCACTGTGTCTGGCATGAAGTTTCGCTTTATGTTTCTGCCACGACCTCAAGCTGTGCGCCTGCGCCCTGATCAGCCGTCGATGGACTGGCCTAATTCATTTGTAAACGTCTTCAGGTTATGTGACACATATGTTTGGAACACTATGGATGGGAGCGTGAAATCAATTTTAAATATCGAGGGTAAGGATGCGACATTTTGGTTGGGAAGTTTAAATGTACCTAGCCGTGTTATTTATTTTAATAATTTAAAATTTTAAATAACCTCTTTTTTTATCAAGAAAAAGAAAGGAAGAAATACTAATATTTATTAATTGTGTTTGTAGCAGTAGGATACATTTTTTACTTATTAACTATTTTTTTTGTAAAGCTTGTATACAACATTCAATACATAAATTAATATTAAATTTATTTATAAATCCTTCTAGGACGTATACAACTTGGAGTAAAGGATAAGTTCGTAAGATTAAAATTATTGGCTTTAGAGCCCTGCATGAGCCAACGCAATTCGAACTCTTTTTGTTTCTTGTCATTATAACAGTTTGATCCAATGATTAGAAATGACATTGCAGTAAATATTCATATGATTCGTTTTCCAAAATGATAATTTTTCTACTAAGAAAATGTCTGGCTCCGAAAGAGCTATTGGCAATGCTGACCTTCCTGCAGGAATTTCACATTTTAATAATACTAATACAGGGCTCTTGTACGGAACCAAATAATAATATTATTTTAGTAAATAGTAAGAATAGTAAAATAAAAAATAATTTGTTAACTGAAAATATCGAAAGATCCAGAAACTATCGCGACTCATGAGGCCATCGCCAGTACCGTTAAGCGGCGGGCGGTACCTGGTGCCAGCGGGCGTTTCACAGGAGGCGGGCGGCAAAAAAAGAGGAGAGGTGTCGGCGAAGTGTCGCTGCAAACGCCCCTTGGCTGACACTTTTTTTTTGAGACTCTGAGTCGCGTGAATTCTGGGTAATTACAATTTATGGTGACGCAGTTTCTCAAACGATTCTAGCCGGAGCAATACCATTTTCATTCCCATTTCGAATGGGTGAAGAGGCACCCGCAGTGCGTGTTTGTATTGCTTTTGAATCGAAACTCGATTGCGAAACAAAGGTCGAACTGTGGAGTGGCACTTGAGAAGGTTTCTATGCCGTTCTAGTTGCTTTCCACGAACCAATAAGTAATAGTTGTGTTTTGTTCTTTGGCAACAAAGGAACTCGAGTGCACCTTGCCATTAGCCAGCCAAGGGTTTCCTTTTCATGTCTAAAAAAAAGGAACGAAGCCCTCTCAGACTCTGCGTCTGCTTTGGGAGATCATTAGGTTTATACACCCTCCTTCTTCTATATGGTTACATCATCATGCGGGCAGTTGTCTTTAATTCCCATGCACAAACAATTAAAAGAAGTAAGGCAGCGCAATACTCCAAAAAAATTCGCCATGCATTTTCTGGCGGCGTAACGCTTCAGTGGATTAAATTAAATTCCAAGGGGATTCACCCCTCAATTCCATGGGAATGAAATTCACACATATAACTCAATTAAGTTCGCTGGCAAGTGAAAAACTTAATTTAATTCTTAATTGCAGCGTAAATTGGGGGATGGGTCAGCGAAAGATGGGGGCAGGCAGGGAAATCCATTTTAGACTCCGTTTGATCCTTGTAGCATATGCCCCCCATCAATTGATAAGCAATTTTCCAATTCGCCTACAATTTCCATTTTAATAGAAAAATCCCACGCAACACAACGAACAAAAAATTTCGCACAACTGCCAAATATGATGAAAGGCCGGGTGGTGGGCGTTAACTGAAAAGTGGGCGTGTTCAGCTATGTATAAAGCCAAATTCAATATAAAAATTCAAATCATTCAATTATCTGTGGCTCAACGCGAAGCTTCATGGCTTTTCGCAGGGAGGGGAAAAAGTTGAATCAATTTGGCAATTGAATTTCATGGAAAGTTAGGGTCTAGCCGAGGGGACGACTTAAACAAGTAAAATAAATGGCATTTATCAGAAACAAATCAAATTTCCGCTTGTAATGTAAGCAAAACGAGGGAAAGATACAAGAAAGATAAACAGAAAACGGCAACACGCAGTTGGGTTGCCCTTAAACATTTGAGCAAAGGATAAAAGATGATAGATAAATTTGTAGGGAAGTGTTTTCAACCAGATGTTTTAGACGTTCATCTCCTTTTTCCTCAAAGGATTGTCAGTCCTTCAATAAAATATAATCAAATTCATAAAGGATATCAAAATTGATGACGGAAGCTGGCCTACCTCTGTAAAATGTAAGCTCTGTTCCGCAAAGTTTTATTCTTTTAAATTCTTTTGGCCAACATTTTCAATAAATATATTTTTGCCAAATCAACTCAGCTCACCTAGCCCAACATTTTTGCCATTTTTCGCGTATTCCATTCCAATTTACAGCCATTAAATCAGAGCAGACTGGGGAATGTACTATCTCTATATACACGGGGATATATGCTGCTAAACAATGCTGTAAATAAACAATAAAATGGATGACATATAAAAAGAAGATTGCATGCCTGCGCGAGCAGACGGAAAATCACGAAAAATCCACGTGAGTTTCAATTTTCCTTGCTCGATATTTCCTCCTTTTATTAGTCCTTTTTATACGAGTGCACGTATTGGCGCGTATCTATGAGATACGAGATACCAATTTGGTATCCGGCATTGAATTACATGACAACGACTTCCACTCGCTGCCGTTAATGAGTTCAACTCGCTTCGCTGACTTTTCTATATAACATATATGTTTTTGATCTGTGAGTTTCGAGTTTCAACTGTTGCAGCTGTTTGGACTGCCTTTAAGATGCCGTCACGCCCAGGAAAATGCGGTTTTGTTCGGGCTTCTTGGCCAGGTCAATCTACTGCTCACAAAACCGCAACATGTTACTGCAGCTTGTGGGTGCGAGCAGGGCTACTGTATCTAAATCCGTATCTGTATCTTTATGTGCTCATCTACATCTGCAGGCCAAACAGTCAGTGTATCCGTATCTCTGGCTGAGCCTTAGCTTAATGCGCTTGCATAAACAATGGGCGACCCTTGGTATCTTCATCTCATCGCCGCATCTGTAAGCGGATTTGCCTTAATGTCATTCGCCAGTCCTTTCTCCCTTTCAGATGTTTACCGACCCTCTATGAAATCCCTGAAAAGTATGCACTGCTAAACGGTGGCATAATTAGATCAGAGTTGGATTTCAAACTAATGGAGTTGGGAGAATCAAAGGTTGCCACTGGCAAAGAGCGAAATAAAATGTTATCAAATTTAGGGCTTTAGGAAATGAGAAACCTTTAGTTGTCGGAAAATCAAGTTGTCACGACAACCACTCACATATGGCTGTCCTCTGAGGACTGGATTGGCAAGCCAACCACCAGTTGAATGCTGACTGGAAATATCCTGTCCCACTGCACATTTCCCGACCAAATCCAGCGCAGGCGCATTTGTGGATGCCAAGTTTCGTGGCAGGACACCAAGTTTCGCGGCCAGGACAAAAATGCCAGCACATGGGGCCAGCACAAACAGTTCCTTGCGCGCTTTCAACTGCAAAGGTTGGACCGAAAGGGCGCCCACAAATATATCTCACAGATCCCCGAAACACCAACATTGTCTGAAATTCGACGAAAGCCATAAAAACTTAACAAATCCGCCAGTTTAGCACAAAAGGTCGCTTAACTTTTAACGACGCGACGGGGTAATTTTATTGCCAGAGTCGTGGCCCGATAACAGTGATAACAAAGTAGCCGCGTTAACCAAAAAAGTTTCACACTTTCCGTGCCCGAAATCAAAAGGCGTAATCGTAAAACGCGGCCAAGTGTTGCGATTTATGAGTTCACAATCGTAATTGAATTTTATGCGAAAACTTTGACCAGTTTTCCTTGGGATTACTGTGGCAATAAAACCAAAACGCAAATAAAGGTCGAGAACATAACGAAAATTGCCGCCAAAAATTGATGCCAAGGTGAGTGGGGCATACAACAAATTGCATTATTTGATATCCTGAATATCCTTTACGATTTACGACTGTTTGGGCTTGCTTTATCCTTTTGTTGGGATCAAAGTCCGCCCTTTGAGTCCTTGACAAACAGTGTGAAAAAGGTCAGCAGCCTTGACTTGAAAGGATTGCATAGGCTCTTGTTTCGGTTCGCTGCCTTTGGGCCCTTTCATCTTCTCTATATAATTATTCACAAAGAGTTTTCCCCTTGCATTTTGCCACCTTTTGGCACTTTGGCTGCACATGAAAATGCATTGCAAACTTTTGCCACGAAAGCTGTCACACTTTTTGGCCTGGTTCTGCTTAAAGTTATCAGCGGGAAATGGGGGGTAAAGGGCTCCAAGGATAAGAATCAACTTTTTTCGGGGTGTCGTTGTACTTCTTGAGGCAGACTTCCTGTTAAGCTGTCAACATGTTTGGAGTGAAGTGTTTCAGCTTTTCCGATGAAGTTTTAACACTTTCGGGAGTTGAAATGCATGCGAGAGCGCTTGTTTGATGTGATCAAAGTTTGCGAAAGGAACAACTCTTTACGGCTTAAAATATTGTGCTCTCCTATTTTAAAAATGTAATTTATAGATTAAAAATATCAATTATATTAGGGTTCTCACTATATCTCTTAACTGTTCATGGGTATAATTTGTTCTGAAATTATAAATTATAGGTTTAGCATTCAGCAAATATAGCCTCAAGCTTATTTAAGGCAACCCCAAATGATGGTAAATTAAATGAATCAAACCATATTTTAATATAAATAAAAAAAACACTTGCAAGTTTTTGGCAAACGATTGTTATAATAAAACATTAAACGCGATGAAACTGTTGAAATCTATGCAATGAAACAAAAATCGATTAGGTTCAAATAAAGTCGAGTTATTTTAGTTATTACAAAAAACTGGCGGCTTTTGTTTATCCAAAAGTTGCAAATTGAAAAGTTTAAAATTAAATTAGAAACCACAAAATCTATTAATTTGCATTGATTCCGTTGCCTATTTTCGGGCATAATTTAAATAAAGATACCTTTCCCCCTTATAAATCGAATTACTTTCCGCAGCATACTTTCGGGGTTAATACCGAATTAAACTGCATTAAAAAGCACTGCGGAAATATATGAAGATAAACCCCTGGACAAACTTTGGCTATTCAATGGCTTACGCTTAAATCTGTGGCATAAAAGCTGCACTTAAATGCAGTCACAAAATAAGATACACAAGGCCACCGAAGTGTCCTTCCACCGCCCACACTTTTTCGTCCCCCACCTTGCATTGCATTTCCTTGAAAGTGTCGCCAAGGAAATGCCAAGCGGCGGTTTGTTGGTCGCAGGCGCATTCCCATTCGCAGTCGACACTTCCGCAGCGGCGACAGGTGCTGCCTGTCAGCTGCATTCAAACCGCGAATTTTCCTCCCCACCGCCCTCGTTTTTCAACCATTTTCCCTCGCCGCTCTTGGCCGTGTCAAGTTAATCAGCAAGCTATGGTTTCTTCCCTTTTTTCGGTGGCTTTTCAGCATTCCGTCTTGTTATTCTTATTTTTGGTTGTCGGTAAAAAAAATTTCACGCCCGCCACGAAAACTTTTCATTTTCAACGAGCGAGTGAGCGAGCGTTAATAAGGTATAAAAAAAAAGGAAAGCCGGAATAGCAGCCACAGACAAAAGAGCCTCATAAAAATGGAGCTTGTTTGTTTAAGCACGAAGCGGCTCCTACTCCAACTTCTTTTTTCCCATATTTCCCCTTTTCCCAGAAAACACGTTTATTTGTTAAAGTTTGCTGGTGTTGCTCTTGGCAGTGACTTTGGCATCTCGGTCTTGTCAAGTAGCTAAAGGAAACAAAACGGAGTCTAAATGAAAATCTGCTCTTATTTCGCTCACTGACACATACGTACACAAATAAAAAATATCAGGTGTAAGCCGATTTGGCTATAAATTTGTTTATGGGATGGGATAGTAATTTAAAGTTTAATTTGATTTAACTAGTTTGTCTTATCGTATCGTTTTTCGCTTGCACGCCTAACTTTGTTACTTTTATCAACATGTAAATATTATTAAAATAATGTATTTAATTTATTTAATTTTCTTATTGTCAAATATATGCGCTCAGTACGTTTTCTTTATTTTTTTTTAGTATAGAATTTTTTAAATATCGCTGTCATTGCATACTATTTTTAAAAAACTTTAACATTTTCTGTTGTTATTTTAGCTTTGTACTATTAAAAACTTTTAATCTAGGTACAGCAAAGTCATTTTATGTACCAGGAAAATTTCCCAAAGGTTCCACTTTTTATTTCAGTGCATGGGCTTCCCATACATGTGCTATAATTCACACTGCTGCTCAGCAAGCGGTACAACGAAAGGCTTTTAGGAGTTGTCTCATTTTTCCGCACTCTTTCACTCCTCAAATGCCTTTGCCACGCCCACCTGCTGTCGCCCAGCATCGTTGACATTTTCATTCAGCGTCTTGGCAACCGTAATTAAAATCGTTTTAATTTACTTTTGCGTTACACACAAACACAAACACACGCTTGTATGCACGCCCACTCCTTCCGTTTCCTGTGGAAAGTGTAGCACACTTATCAGCGCTTGTCTGCTGCTATGCCTGGTTTATGTTTATCGACTTTTGTTTAGCGGCTGATGCTGTTGCGTTTCTGCTGCTGCTGTTATTATTTCAGTCTCTGCCCATCGGCGGTATCCCCAACCCGCCCCCCTTTGTCCACCCTGCTTCATACTCATTATGTGGGCGTGCAAATTGCTGCATATTCATTTACCGTTATCTCTTTCTTGTCAAGTAAAACACACATTTTACTACAACAACAGCTGCTGCCGCCTCCTCCACTGCCTAGCCACGCCCCCATCCGCCGAGCATAGTAACCATTGCCATCATTCTCCGCCCACGCCTCGATGTTCTTAATAACATAAACTTCTTTTCTCTCAGCGCCCGAGTTGAGTTAATGAAGAATTTCCATGACGATGTCGTAGCCCGTGAGCCCGTTATTACACAACGAGAAATATAAGAAGTTTCAAAAGTTATATATTTTGTAGAGAGCTAAAATGTAATGGAAAATATTTAAAGACTTGAAACAAATTTTTTTTTTGATTTAACTAAATCTTTTAAGTCTAAGATAAATTAGAATCAGATAATACGTAAAGAAAGCCGTATTTTATTAATATATTTTTTATCCTGAATAGATTATTAGTCTTAATACTTATTAAAATAACTTGAAGTAATTATCTAAATATTTTTTTTTTGTTCAACAAAACCTTAAGCTAATACTTAGCAGTGTCATAAGTATTTTTCCGTGTGCAAAAGTATCTATTTATATATATCTTTTGATACCACTCAAGCCACCTGCCCTGGCTCATTATATTGTTTCCGTCGACGAGGATGAGGCCGTTCAAGTTGCCTGGGCAACAACAAAACGTCTACAAATTTGCCAGTCGGTCTCACCGCTCGAGTTGGCTTGAAGCGTATTAATTTTGCTCATAAAATGATTCCCGATAAGATATGATCTGTGTTTGCCCCGAGACTCATGGCTCGTCCATTGAATTTGCCTGCCTTTTGAAGTTGACTGCGCACTTGAGTAGAATGGAGAGAATGTTCACTGGTTCGGTGGATGAGGTATTCACCTCTGGCTTAGTAATGAAAATTCAACGAAGGCATCATCGTCGTCCTAAGCCGCTTAAAATTGCCGAGATGATGTGTGCATATGAGTAAAATCTCTGGGGCTTAGTTGGCCCGCTATCAAAACACTCGGCAGCACTTCAAGCGGCCCGGCAACATTTTGTCCCCAAAATTGTCATTAGATGTTGCCAGCAACATGGCTAGCACCCGCATTCACATTCGCACATACACACACACACACACACACACACACACTCTACTCCTTTTTGTGGGCTTGTATCTGTGTGCGATACACCCACACACAGAGAAAATTTCGGAACAGGAGCTCAGCAGCGAATGTTGGCGTATACGCACTCCATAGACATACTCACCCACACGCAGGCACAAAATGCAGACACACTCGCCCACACACACTTTCGCACACCGAAGGACTAAACAGGCACACAAAATCGTCCTGGAAGTGGCGAAAGCGCGAAAAAAGCGAAAAAGCCGAGCAAAGTAAGACACTCTTTTCGGGGGAGGTGTAAAAGGGATGCTGGTTGAACGGGGCCAAACAAAAGCGAGATAAACAAGGAGCACACCGCACCAACACACTTTCTCACATCGGGAGTGAAAGAAGAGACAGACATTGAAACTGTTTTCAGGACTACGCTGTGTGAGTGTGTGTGTGTGAGGGCCATAAAACGGTCGCGGCCTGCAGTTGAGTCCTGTCTTAAGGGCCAAAAGAGAGGTTGCTTTATGGCCATACCCACTCCCTAACCCACCATCTCTATCCCGCTGTTGTTGTTAATTTTGCCACTTTTGGCGTTGGCATAATAAAGTTGATAAAGCAGCCACAATGCTGCCTTTGAAGCGTTCGTATTGGGCCAGCCCCGAAAAGCAGGCAATTATATTTTGCATACCTATGCACACAGGCGAGCTTCGATAAATCGTATTTCCAAACGCAAATATTCTGTAAAGCCAAGAGAATTATTATAACTAATAAACTTTGTTGAAGCGAACGCAATTTGTGTTATATGTAAATACAATTTAAGCTGTAATATTAATCAAGAGAAACTGACTTAATTTTGACAAATATATATCGCTAAGGAAATTCATCAACTTATTTTACTTTCTTTAATATCGGTTCTTTATGTAAGAAAAGTTGAAACTCAGGAATAAGTTAGACAAATATTTCATGCTTAACTATAAAAGGAAAAACTTTAGAGTGAAGCTATTTTAGTTAAGTGAAATGTTCGACTCAAGAATGCCCGACTGTTTATAAGTACTCTAGTGTGTGACTGGGGTCCCCGCAATAAATCGCCCTGTTTTCTTGCATCCCAGTAATGAATGGCATCTTCTCAACTGTCTGTCTTC